ATTTGGCAATTAGGTGAGGAAAAGGGGCAAACTTATACTCTCCTATATATACATAATATATATATGTAAACACAATAACAATAGTCATGAGCCTCAAGGCAGAACACAGGGTTTCACTCCAAATCTAACGACTGAATGTAAATACAGTGTAACATGCACATAGCAAAAATGACCAGACATAGAAATCTTTTCTGGCAAGTACAAATTTCGCACTGCCGTGTGTGTTTTAAATACACACAAAAAAAAAAGTAAGTAAAACTCTGGACATGAAAATCTGTTCGCTTTATGAGTGTTTCATTATGTGCATGTTTGCTATGTGTGCACTACATTGTATGAAAAAACTGATGATAATGCAAGAGTGATAATAGGATTTCATAAGATGCTGTAGTTGAATCCAATAGTCAACAGTCAACAAGTTTTTTTTACCTCATATCCCAATCTGGTGCAGTTTGGTAAGTTATGTAGAAAATGTGTCAACAAGGTAGTAAATGTTATTGTTATGCTCCCAAGAAAGTCAATAAGAGTTTTGTTTCCATGTGGTTGTTATTGATTCAGTTATGATTGTTAGTTAAGCCTTTTCCTCGATGCCAAGAAATAAAAATGTTCCAAGTCTGAATAAGAAATTTGCTTGATCTACAATATTAAGACCTGGAACATATTGTTAGCAATGGGAGACAACACAATTTTAAAAAAACTGACTTTGATTTACTACTTCAAAACTGGTAAAAACATGAGACCTACAAAAAATGAACAAACGGTTGAATAAAACACTCTCTTCGTGTTCATCAAATTCACCGGGTTGCCTGTTCCATTAAGAAAACCATGATAGTAAAAACTGGGCACCTGATAAAATGCTGATTTGTAAATGATCAAAATACAATTTCAACCTGTTATCCTTTGGCAGTTAGTACATTCATTAAAACATTTTTGAAACATGAAAGAGAGGAAGACGCCCACGCACATTAGGCAAAATTCATGAGACAAAGTTCACATAATCTGTGAGCAAATGGCAGAAAAATACCTCTAACAGTTCCACTTCTTGACTCTCTTCCTGTTGTTTCTGACTGCCAGTGTAAAAAACAAATCCACAGGGTTTCAACTGAAGATGGGAATCAAACTCATATATAAGCAAGATGATGTTTAGAAAATACTGTACATCTCGCATATATTTTTATACATTTGCTTTCCCTGTTCTCACCATATCATAGTCCATTTTACACAAGACATAATAAGAAATAAATCTAAAGATCCCTGTACTCGCTGTATCTTGCTCTGTCAACATCATAATAAGATTAAAGAAAATCATGCACAGGGCAGTGTTTCTATCCTCCATAGCCACTGGGACCAACATCAATGCACCCAGGGCAGGTCCATCAGACCGCTGTGCCTTTCTCTATAAGACAAACAAATAAGTACCATGACTTATATTCTGACAACCCGTAAGTGCTTAAAGTACAGTAAGCCTACTGCATACACAAATTTGTATGACACACAACTTAACTTTTACAGGCTGTTTTTTGTGTTTTACATCTCAATCGACACAATTTAGATAATTTAGGAGGCTGGCTGCTTTAACCCTGCCAGCAAGAGCCGACCTGTGGGATTGGGAGATTCAACTTCCCAACAGAAACATGCAGATATTCAATAAAAATTCTCCCCACACGGGAATCAAACTCCTTTCTTCTGCATGCAATGGTTAAGTTCCCCACAGACACCAGTTACACTGTCACTGAACCCTCAAGTGTGGCTAGCAATTATTATCAATAACCTCTGGTGTCAGGAAAAATAACATGTTTTCACCACAATATTTTGGAAAATGCTTGAGAAAAGGCAAACCCAGTTAATACACCATAAATCTATTCATTTTCAGATAGTAGTATGTAAAAATAGGAACTAGAGCTCATTTGTGAGGGAGTTAAAATGTCTGATGATATATAACTGAACCAAAGTTGCGCCACCACAGAACGAAACTTGGGGTCAATTGGCCTTCAACATTTGGAGTATTAAGTTTACATACAGCCTTAAGAAGAAAATACTTTCAAAATTTAAATGATGAGAAAATTATGGAAATAGCCCATCAAAAAACATTAATTATTGGAAACACTTATAAAAAAGTTATAGTGTGGCAGGACAGGTTAATTAAGATATCCGATTATCTTCATTTTGGAGTGCATGTTATCATCACATATTTTAAAGAGTTTATAATTAAGGCAACCCAAAGTATCTAAAATTACTTGGTCCTTGTTGCGTGAAAGCCAATAACAAACACAAGAAACAGCGTACATGTGGGCTAAAAAAACAAAAACAAAACACAGCGACAGTAAGAAACATGATAATATTCAAAGCCTTTTAGTATGAAATGCCTATAACACTTCAAACAACTACTCAAATGATTTCGCCAAAATATATTTTATGAGCTGACTTTCCCTTCAACGTAAAAAGAAATGTGCCAATGTTTATTCATACATTTATACAAATGGAGACATATTGCACACACCAGGTATATCACAAATCCTCAACTGGCAAGATGCACAGCAAAAGAACAGTGTAGTAAAAATCAATAAGGGTATCTAAAATATTCGAAGCTTAATTAAAAAAATGTTCATACATAGCTACTGCCCACTTTCATTTCAGCTCCGAGCTTTCTTAGAGAGCTTTGCATCTTACAACACAGAAGATTCCGAAAAAATTATGAATACTACATAGGAGTTCTTGTCATGGCAGCAATCATAAACAGCCACAGCAATAGCTGTAAAAGTAAACTCCGTAAATGGTACAAAACCCCAGTAAATAATCTCAAGTGGTGTCATAGATAAAATGAGCGAGACATTAAGATACACAGGCTAATACCAATAACGAAACTTGTCACAAAAGTAAAAAAAAAAAAAGATCAATAAAGCGTTCTCTAAATCTAAATGCATTTGTCTGATGTAAAAACAATCACTTAAGAATAAAGCATTGGTACAGGAACAGCCCACTGGAGGGAGAGCACAAGTCTGAAGTTGGTCTTCTTCTTTTTTTTTAAAACCAAAATTTTGGTTCTAATCATTAAATACTAGCAAAAATTACATTCCAAACGACTCTAGAGGCATCTCAGTGTTGAAGCTTAGATGGCATTTAGCAAATAAGATTTGGCACTGAAAAGCTCCCTTATGCCTACTGTACAATAGGCACTGGAAAGCTTCCTTATTTATGCCTACTGTAGAAGGGGCACTGGAAAACTCCTGGATGCCAGCTAACATTCTGATTGACCTTTTATAGCTGATACATACAGATTGTAAAGCCCATAGAGCTTGCTGCTGAGCAGGAATTTGCGTTATACAAATGCTATCTATTAAATAATCTATCTATTATTATAGTTCTGAAAAATATGTCAATTTTGTAACATAAATGACAGGTTATCTTCTACGCTAGATGATAAAAGAAATCACAATCAAAGTACTAACAATCTCATACTTATTTCTCTGTCTCCAGTAGTTTTAACAAACAAGATTGGACAACAACAAAAAAGTGGTCTACTTGAAATACAATTATATATTGAACCTGTTCTAATGGCCACATGTCCTAGACAATCACCTGTTCACACAACCACTTTCCCCCCCCCCCCAAACATATTTTCTATGTTACAATGACATTATCCAGGACATTCACCCATCAAAGACAGACACCTTTCACCTTGACAAAGGGCGGCCATTCAAGACAATTTTGATTTTTGACTGCTATTTTTCTGTCTCAGAGCTGGATTGAAGTTAAGTCTGTTCTTTGCCTTAGTTTAGTACCGTAAGAGTTTTACGGTGCTCACAACTGCATAAGTGTTGTAAGTCTGACCACAAGGCGGATGCTGATGAACAAGTGCTCAAAGACACAAAGTCCCAGACATGTATTATGTTTATAAAAAGGGAAAGAAAAATATAATGGCGACATTCACTACATAGGCTTTTGGTCACACTGTATGTATGTAGTTGCTGTTGTTGCTAGTGATCCAGCAGCATCTGAGCGTTAACTCTTCTGCATGATGCCATTCTGTAAAAGCTGCATGTCTGTTCTAATTGTTGTCTTGAGGAGACACTGTATGTATGAAAGTGAAAAAATAGTTGTTCAGGAAACTGTCTATGTAAGGCCAAACATTTCCATTCAGACAGGAGATCTGGGGTATTTGTTGAGAGAAGACAGAGTGCACCTTTTTGTGAAAAAGAAATCTTCAATCAAATCTGCTTCTAATCTCGTGGCATCCATATGGTGCATAAACATAATATATTAATCCTCTAAACTTGAGTATGTGCCTGTGTATCAAATGCACACTTCAGAATACAGTGGGTATATTTAACTGTCGACACACAGGAGCTTAGGTCTTATGGGTTAAGGCAGGCTAGAAGGGTACATAAAACGGTTATCATATTCTCTGAAAAACCTTATCTCCCTTCTGCTTTTTGGATAATCTTTAGTTTTACAAGTATTTCCGGAGGCCACAATTTAAAACCCTCACAATGAAATTGAGAGGCCAATGAAAAGAAAATCAACCATAAATAAGAAAACTGGACAATAATAAAAGTATTCATGAATGTGGATATATATATATATATACAGTAAAACCTGCCCAAATGACCAACTGTCTACGACAATCATTTGTACAAACAACCACCTCCAACTTCCACCCTTGCACTTTTTCTTTATCAAAATGACACAGTCCAAGAAGACCCTCTGTCTTAGATGAGTACTTTTCTTGGACAATGTGGGACAGGTAAGACTATATATATCTGTCTCATCGTTCATGTCACGGCCATCACACATGTGGCAAAATTACAAAAAGGTTGATTTGTCACTGCAGCTTGAGTAGAGACGGGGTTAATTATTTGCTTACATTTTTCAATACAGTAACAAAATTAAAGGTACACACCAATGTTTTAACTCATTGAGACAATGTGCTCTGAATGCCAATGTACGACCCATAGACGCAACAATGTAAGGTGTAAAAATATAAATTGCGTACAATCCCGAAATAAGGGCAAAAGCCGTAGACAGAATTTTATTTGCAGTACTCATAATTATACTAAACATGAACAAAAAAGATAAGCACTCAAATTTCAAGCACTCTTTTTTCATAAGGAAACGAAATTGAACAATTTCTTTAAAAAAATTACTTAAATACATAGAAATTTTAAAAAAACGACCCCCCCAAAAACAGAGCAGTTTATTTCAATTTCTGCAAAATGTTAACTGCTGTAAGATGACAAAACCCCTTTTTTCATTTCTGGTGCCAAATTTTTTTTATTTGCTAAATCAAAAGCCTGATCAGTTATCCTACTTGTGTCAAAAAAATCAAAGTGAAGCTGTAACTAATTTTTGAATGAATTAGAATTCCCTTTTCAGGAGAGCGCCTTTTTTAAATGGTATGCTGGCAAAAAACTTCTTTATCTCGAAACTGCAGTGAATAAAAAAAAAGGGCGCTTTGTCAGCTTACGGCAGTAAAGGGAGTATAAAAAGGCAAAGCTTTTTTGACACATTTGCTGGTCACATGGGGCCCACACCATCTCAATGAGTTAGTATTTCATCACAGCACCAGGGCGGCTTTGCACCAATGTGAACAAATTACATAGAAACATTTCAATAAAGCAATTTATCCTCATTGCAGTTTGCTATCCACGTATGGAACAAAATTTGAAAACTACGGTATAAAGACATTTGATCTGAGCACAATCTTAAAAATCAGCTCACACATTTTAACTAGCATCAATAGTTCATGACAACTTAAACATAAATTGTAAAAATCAAGAGGCTAATACGCGTACTAGAGTAATAAAAAAGGTTTTTAAAATTTTTTGGAAAGTATCTGAATGCTCAATACGCGGATAGCGAAATGCACCAACGATATAGATAACATAGAATCTGTTGTGCCATATCTGAGTCCTTGTGTCCTACTTGGACAGGCCGGCTAAAACAGCACCTCCACTCATGATGCAAAATGCTGCAATCAGAATCAGAATGTTTCGCTTTCCCTGAAAAAAAAAAAAAATTTAATAAAAAAGAACTGCAGTAAACCCGCACTTAGCACTAATTGGCATTGGACAGAAGGGCAGGAGCCCAGCTGTTGCTGGACTGATAACAACAACAACCCTGAAAAAGGGAAAAAGATTCAAGACATCTGATATGAAATTAATATTTCTAACTACCGTACATACATGATCCAGTAACTGATACTATTATTCTTATCATTCTTTACATATCACATATTTGAACACTGAAATCAGATTAAAAGTATTGGTAAACCAGTAAATTAATTTTCTAATGAAGAGTTCAATGACTTGTAGTGCACCCTGAGTCAGCATAGGGATAGCAATATTTTATCAGGGACAGCTTAGGAGAACAAAGTCATCACTGATAAGAGGTTAACTCCACAGGACCAATCAGTCCTTGACTTTCATAAGAAACAGCCAAATATGCAACATCTGAAAAACAACAACAACAAAATTCCAAAAAAGATAAAAGTTACACACATCTGAGATCTTCATAACAACAACATCTCATCTGTGTCTGATAAAATGCTCTCATCTAATTCTTCTGTTGTGATGAAATAAAAAATAGTAAAAACATTTTTTTTAAACCCACAAAAGTGAATGCCCATATCTGAAAGAAAGTACGTTACCGCAGCGCTTGCTGTCGCCACCATTACAGACATACATGAACCTCTTTGTCTGACTAAAAGCAACAACTGTATAACACCAATTTCAACATAGTGAGGATTTCTAAGAGGATAGATGGATAGACCTCTTAATTGAACTTCAGACTAAATAAGATTGAGCCAAGAGCTTAGAATTTCCCCAGCAATCCAAGAACACTTTGGGGAATTTAATCAAGGACATGCCTACCATAGCAAGGCATAACATCAACCACCGTAATGGTGCACCCCCTTCGAATGATGAGAAAAGAATAAATGAAAGTTTGTTCGAAAGACAGAGTGGGAGAGAGAGAGAGAGAGAGAGAGAGAGAGAGAGAGAGAGAGAGAGAGAGAGAGAGAGAGAGAAAGAGAGAGAGAGGAGAGAGAAAAAGAAAGAGAGAGAGGGGAGAAAGAGATGGAGAGAAAGGACCACTACTGAAACTGTATGGTAAATGTGTTCTTAGTATTATTGTAAGTGCATTGGGCATTTTCTTAATGGAATTGTACTGTACAAGTGAAATTCATAATTATTATTTACAAGATGGAAAAAAAAGTTAACAAAAGGACAGAAGAAACAATTTAAAAAGAGAAAAGAAGCAGGGGCCAGAGGAGGCAAAACCAACTGCACACTCACCTTGATCTCATGAAAGACAACGACGCCCCAGAAAAGTGAGGCTATGGCAGCAGGGGCTGTGCTTATGATGGGGAAAGTGACAGATTCCGACAAAGTGGCGTTGGCAATGTACCAGGAAGCTGTGGCGATACCCCACATGATGCCAGACACAATGCCAGGCAGGATCACCTTTGGGTACACCTGTATGAGACAAATATCAGTACAGTGCCAGTAAAAACAAAATTAGGGGGCTCTCGTGGCCTAGAGGTTTAGGTATTCGCCCCTCAGTCAAAGGTCCCGGGTTCGAATCCGGGTAGCTAGAAAAACATTTTCTTCTCTAAAATTGTCTCCTTTCATCTCATTTCCAGCTCTCTAGCAACGTTCTGTCGTCTACTTTTGTCTCCATTTTCTGCCCCCCACTCTGTCACCTCTTTTGCCCCCTCCTTTGGGCTCCTGACTCTTTTTAAGCCTTTCTACTGCTACTCCTTGGCTCCTTACTGCTGTCTTTCAGCCACACTCCTGATCTTCTGGTAGGAAAGATCTACACCTAGCCTTCTCGGACAAGGGCAAAAAATCTTGGAAGTCTCGTGTGCAAGTTGCACAAGTTAAAGATCCCTTGGTGGTCTAAAATCGATAAGAGAAGGCTTCGCCTGCCACCCGGGCAAAATTCAAAATTCCCTACCAACTGAAAATGTTTAACGTGTCCCGCATGCTTATATGACCTTATGCAGTTGCCAGCGCCGTAAAACACTTACCCAAAAAAATATTTTAAAAAAATAATATGAACTTGTACATTGCCCTTGATGACCACAATGGTCAAGGAGAAAACTGGTTATTTTACAAAGGTGGATGTCTTGGACAGTGTCATTACACTTTAAGAGGGGGTGCTGCAGAATAAGTCTATCTTAGCTAATACCACTCCTATGGAGCTTATATTTGGTGTGGACGATTATATAGCAATGGAGATTCGTTAGCGGTTGTGAAAAAAGAAATCACTGATTCGATTACCATGGAAACGGCGGCCCTATTGGATTTTAGAGACATAATGACATACAATTTTCTAAACTTATTTACAAACAGATTAGGTTCATACTTAGCATGCACACTTATAAGACAAAGATAAAACATTCTGTAAGAGGAATTTTTTATATCTACTTTAGTTTTTATTTTATGGCACTTTCAAATCCAGCTCTAGCGAATTAATGGAAAACCTGGAAAAATCTAGTTTTTCAAGCTCACAGATTAAAAACCAACGCATCTATCATTAATTCCCCTTAGAAAAAGCTCAATTTGTATGGTAACAACATTCTGTGAAAGTTTTATTGAAATGGAGTTTGAAATAGAGCAGAAAAATAGTACCAACCGTGAAAAAAATAGGATGCTTATTTTTGGACAAAATTGGAAAATATTTTCTCTAAAAGAGACTTGACCGTACGCTTTTAAATCCCCCAAACACCACTTTAGGGTGCAGGGAGGCGTGTGTACTTTCTAGATATTGTTCAGGACATGTCCAGGAATCTTAAAGTGTAATTATCTCAGTTTGTGTCATTTGGCCCCAAACGGGCTTTTCTAACTGCAGCACCACCCCTTAAAAACAAATGTATTTGTGGGGGGGGGGGGGGGGGGGTGTGGAGTGGGAAGTGGCCATTTGAACAGGTCATTATCTTGGACAAGTAACCTCCAGAGCAAGTTTGACTGTGCATGGTAAAATGCATGTAAAATACAAGTCAAATTCAACAGAAAAATAGGCAAACCCAAGACACAGAGGTGATACTAGGCACAATGCCTCGGAGGATTATGTTTAGGTACACTTGTGTGAAAAAATTCTCCATAGAAACAAGGTATAAACCACTATGTAATGAAAGGTATGTAACATACAATTCAAAATTTATACTGAAACAGACAAGAGCATTATAAAAGGAAAATACTATGACAGTCACATGTGAGGCCTACAAAATTCGATATACTTTCTGTTTATAGATAACAGTTTTACTGTCATTGTTAGGTCTTCTGTGAGACTGTCAACTCTTCTTCAGATATACATGACATGTAGGCTATATACGAAAACACCACATCTTGAGTTAACAGAAAAAAACAACTATCAAATTAATAGACGTCTTGGACAGCACTGACATTGACTTCCTAGAAGTATTTTCAAGCATGTTACTTTAAGGTAAAATGTCATCACAAAAAAGCTAAGAAACAATACAATACCACCCCCACCCCCCAGTCTCACTTTTTCATTTCTAAATTACCTTTTCAAATTGAGGGATATATTGATATATATTGAATCATCCATTTTCCTTACCTTGGGTTTGTTCTTTTTTACAGCACAATAGATGTAAAAGTATATGGAGCTGGACATATAGATGCCGCAAAAGTGGGCAAAGACATAATCCAACCCTGCAAAATGAAGAAACAAGAAGTACAACACTCTTTACATATGTTAAATTCACCAAATTTTAAGACAAGTGTGTTTGGGTGTGTGTGTGCAGTGAGTTAGGGTTCAGAAAAAAAGGGAACTGTGAACGTAAGGATAATAGGGTAAGATCCAATTTAAAAAAAACAATGAAGAAAGTTTGCGTTTCGAAAGATCTCCTGTGCCAAAAGACTAAAACCTATGGAGACCTCGACCACCAAAAGAGCAATCTGTCATGTCATCAAAGGAAACAAGCAGCCAGCGACATGGACCTAGATGCAACAAAAAGTGCAATGAGGGGCTTGCAAAATTCTGCATATTCTGTATGTGCATAAGATTTGTTATTGTTGTAGTTAAAATTTCACTAAGACTTTCAACTCTTTCTCAAACATAATATAGAAAGACCATTTCTTTAATTTAAAAAAGACAATCAACTAGAAGTCTTCGACAGCATTCAAATTGGAGTTTCGAAAATTTCATCAGCACAATACTAAGAACCAGTAAAACAACCTATTTCATGTCCAAACTGAGGGGTGTACTGAAAAAGTTTGCCTTTTGTAGGAATGCAAGAGAAGAAAGACAAAAATCTATAGAGATCTCACCCACCACAAGTGCTAAGAGTAATGAGAAAAGAAGAAAGGACTACGAACTAGTGACTTGGATATAAGTGTAAAAGGAAAGAAACAAAATACCAGTGTCTGCAAATGAACATTAAATTACAACAACTGTCTTGCATTATAAACAACGTATGAAGCTGACTGATACCTTATTTGGTATAATGCTGAGTTATAGCACAGTTCACTATTGTTTAAATCACCAATGAGGCTATCATCATCTACCATTGTTTGAGAAGGTCTCTACGCCCTCGACCCACTTTGGTCAGTCCTATCAGATACATTCATTTTGGAGGCTAAGCTTCTAAAAAAAGCTTTATGTGGATACAGATAGGCTGAACCAATACCATATAGAACACAATGTGCTTTTTCACAAGTTATAGACAGTTTTAGACCAGAACCTACTTTTCCCAAATAAAAAACTTGAGTCTTATTCTGCAAAATAATAAATACTACAAGCACAAAAAAGAAAAAAAAATGCACAGAACTACATATCGATGATACTGTTATTCTCTAACCGTGTAAATGGACAAAATAGATCAACTCTTTTCTTATCTTAAGCCACTGCTATGGTCGATTGAAAAATCAAGGAGATAGAATGAACAAAAAATAGTATTACAGTTATGTGGGCTACCTCTGGTGTCTTTTCTCATCATTCAAATTAGAAATTGCTATTTTGCATGTTAAAATTTTAAAAGAAATCAGTTAAACTATAAGAGAATAGCGCCATCTATATGTGGTTCTGAGTGGGCACTAATGAGGTTACAGCATAAAGCACAAACCATTCTTGCTGGCGCCTTGTACATTGTCCTGCACGTGTATGGCTGGAGTAAAGTTGATGCCGTACATGAAACCAGAAAAAATGGACAACCCTGTGCCTCTGAAAAAGACAAATATGGCGAATTAATGTAATTACGTAATTGCAGCAGTATTATGCCTCCATCGACACTATTTAGGTAATTTAGAGAAGGGCTGTTTCCATACAGCCTTCAAGGGCCAACACGGGCAAAGAGGGATACAACGACTTAGCAGATAGATGGAGACACTCAATAAATAAAAAAACAACCTCCCCACACGGGAGTCCACTCCTTATGTCTTCTGCATGTAATAAAGATGTAAGAAGCAGCATTAGATTTCTTTAACACAATTCAGAGCTGATTTATTCAGCTCACATTCTTTCATTACTGTGAAGAGTGTTATGAATGACACTGCTACGCTACAGAAACCAGGTCATGATGAAGTTATTATTTCATAATCAGAAGTAATAAAGAAAAATTATCATGAAGAATAATAAAATAGTGAGTAAAACATCATTAGTTCTTAGTTTTTAAAAAGGAGCAATAAGATAAAAATCAGCACAAAGACTTATCTATTTAGGATGGGGCTTTCTTCAATTCTGTTGAAATATACATTGTGTTTGTCGTTCTAAAGAAACATTGACTAATAAGTAAAGTAACAACAGTTTTCCTGCCAGATCTTCTTTCCATCAAGCATTATTTACAACACATATCTGTAACTACTTTCTAAAATTAGAAAAAAAAGAACATAACATTGAAAATAGCTGTACCCATATTTGCCTACACAAACAAAAACAACAGGTTCAAAAAAAAAATTCAATAAAAAAAAACAACCCAATCAGTTTGCAATCACTTACATTATTCGCTTCAACATGGGAGACAAATCTTCAATCCACATGCGGTCATCCTGCTCATCATCCTCATCGTTTCCGTTGCCGTTACCAGATTTCTTTGCATCATTCTAAATTTAGAAAAAAGATGAGACAAGAAATATAGTAGTCTCACACTTCTTTGTTAACAACAGACAGCAAACATGATTGTAAATCAACTGTAACAAAACAAGACAGATAAAGACGAGTAAAGGAAACTACAGTTGCATCAGTAAATTAAAGTCAGAATAAAAATTACTCCAATGAATTCTACACCCATATGGAAACGCAGCCACATGCTGCTAACTTCAACTCACCATGGCTGTATCATTATGTACAAGTTTGGGGTAAACTTTTAAAAATAAATACACATCAGTCATTATTGAAAACCAAAATATTTACTTTTCAAAATATAAATGAGGGATTATAAACTCTCCACAGAAAATATGCTTTACGAATTCCTTTTAAAAGACTACGGAATGTGATAAAGAGTCTTGGAAACATCCACAATTTGGACATTGGCATTCTCTGGATTCCATCCTAATAAGAAGGATAGAACTGAACAACCTGCAACACACTCTGAACAGGGACCAGCACTCTCTGAACAACAACACACTCTGAACAGTGTACAATGCATTCTGTAGTGTAGGCCTACAGCATTCTCAGAACAGTGCAAAACACACTCTGAACTGTGAACAACACACTCTGAACAATGTGCAACACACTCTGAACAATGTGCAACACACTCTGTCTGATCTGTGAACAATACACTCTGAACAATGTGCAACACACTCTGATCTGTGAACAACACACTCTGATCTGTGAACAACACACTCTGAACAATGTGCAAAACACACTCTGATCTGTGAACAACACACTCTGAACAATGTGCAACACACTCTGTCTGATCTGCGAACAACACACTCTGAACAATGTGCAACACAATCAGATCTGTGAACAACACACTCTGTCTGATCTGTGAACAACACACTATGAACAATGTACAACACACTCTGAACAAGGTGCAACACAATCTGAACTGTGAAAAACACACTCAGAACAATGTGCAACACACTCTGAACAGAGTACAAAGCACTTGCATATACCACAGCCATTTCTGATTGCAACACTGACCATCTACTCAATATTTTGTAATTAACACTTTCATCGACACAGGGTGCACAGTGCCAAATATCGAACGTGTTCATTGAAATAAGTGTCAGAAATGAAGCTAAAACCATGAGCACATTCATCACCTTCATCCTCATCATAATGACACTGTAAAGCAACGCTCGAAATAGGTGCACTCGACAATTTTAAAGAATTTACACTCTAATCATAGCAAACAAACTGGCTTCAGAGCTCAAAGGCCACAATCCATTCAGGGAGGAAGTTGCAACTGAAGCAATCGCACATGTTTACAGGGAAATCATTCCTACATAGGTTACCGATCAGCGTCTCGTGGGAGCCAAGTGTTAGGCATTTTCAAATTTTGAAACATAACAGTAAAGTCATCATCTTGTCCGAGCAATCAAACACCCCCATTGCTCTTTCACTGTGGTTCTGAGCTTTCCGTTAACCACATGTTGCAACTCTCACAGATAACAGCCTGAAGAGGGACAGGCACTCACCCCCTCCCCCCCCCAAAAAAAAACCCCCTTTCAAATAAGCAACATTCTGTCAGGCTCCTTAGTCTCTTTTTCTTTTCACCACATCACACAGAATATAATCAAAGAGGGCATAAAATAAACAAGGATAAAGTTATTGTCAGTACTGTAAGCCTTGACTCATAGTTATGATAGTCATGCCTCCCCCTATACTCATAAAAGAACTTCACAACAAACTCCCTTGGTTTGCCAGTTTATTCAACATATTATTTCTGCTCAAGTTTTTGTGTGCTCTCCAAACAGAGTTTTAAAAAGAGGTTATCATCTTGAAGTGGGTCGAATAAATTGGTCAAAAGTCTGAAATAATGGAAAATAAAATATAGACATATACAATATCATTGTCCATTTATGGAATCACCTGATATGTCTGCGGTATGAGAAGAAGATTGACGGGACACAACATTGAAGGTTATTTTTGCTCTTTCAGCAAATACATGCACCACTGGAATAACAAAGGTCATCAAGTGCACTTACTGCCAACTTGTTGAAGACAAGAACATCATCACCATTGCGAGAGGCTGGAGTCGACCTTTGCGACTCATTTATTGAAGATTGCTGTATGAGAAAGATAATGGCAAAATAATCACAGATTTCAGCATCTTTTTGCAGCAGCAGCAGCTTGCCGTTAAGCTGTTCTGACTTACGCTGCTTTACGACAAAAAATTTAATTTACTTTGAAAGTTGGATACATCACGGCTAACCTAGCCTAACCCAGCCTGAGCGGAATTAAAGTATCCCAGCAGACGGACAAAGACATTTAATAAAATGATCTTCTGCATTCAGGAGTCAAGCTCATGTCCTCTGCCTTTGATGGCAAAGAGCCTAACCATTACACAAAGAAGGACATGCTCAGCTTGAAGGAGTCGATATCAAACACTACTGTGGCTAGCCAATTAATCAACAGCAGAACAAGCCACAGTCACAGTCTGCTTCATCTATTCAGAAATTCTCACACTATTCCAGAACTTTTTTTGTCATTTCGTCACACTCTTAACATAATTGCCTACGATAGTTTTTCACGTTTCTAGTCATTCTTCTGCTTCTTCTGCTTCTTTCCTGTGGTTGGGGCAACCGTGGGGGCACCACTGCATCTGAAAACCAGCTCTCGCCATCTATTTCATGATTCTAGTCATTGGTATAGTACAAATGTCTATAACTTGTTTTGTATCTTCGATTTAGCAAGGTTTTTTTCTCGTTATTTTAACTTTCATTTTTGATCAAGTCACAAAACTGAATAAGGGAAGCAGTTTTTTTTAAAATGTTCTAAAAATTACTTAGATAATTGAATTATGACCAGATGATAAGTTAGAATAAATCTCAAAGAACATTTGGGTGTTATGGGAGGGTTATCTTTTTCAACGTCCCAGGACAAACACACTGACGTGCTTTCCAAAAAGCAGTACTGGAACCATTACCCACCTGCTGATTTAAAAACCAATCTTTTTTTAATATGAAAAAAGTCTGATCCTTTGTTTTTGTTCCCTTATTTTGTTTCAGGCAATTTTCCAGACCTCACACAGTATGCAAATTTTTACCTAACATCAAAATATCAAAAGAATTTACGTGGAATTATTTAGTTTACAGTTCTTGAAGAAGGCTATTTCTACAAGATAATGACAACAACATTTTGCAAGATCTGGTAGGCTAGAAAAAGCATGTAACTTCAAAGCAGTTCAACAATAAGATGCACTCAAAGACTAGTAAAAAGAGGACTTCCACCATTATACATTACTTTTAACACAAAGTTAACAAGCAATTTCGAATTTAGAAAACATGTTTCCCTATTTTCTTATTGCCACACTGATGTAACGTTTATTCACTGAACCTTGTCACATTGAGTGGGGTGTAAATTCTTGTGTAAGGGCACAAATCTGCATCTTGTTATTTGCAAGGTGGACATGCCATGACTCTGAGGATAAAGTATGCTGCCTCGTCTAAAAAAAAAAAAAATTCTAACCCAAACCCCTTACTTACTGGTCCAGAAATGAGAGGAGAAGTTTCCTCCTCAGTGACAATTATCTCCATCTCTGTGGAACCGCTGACTTCATTTTTCACCATTACATAAAGCAGAATACTTCCAAACGCCAAGCCGACCCCTCCATAGTTCATAGCAGGGTTACTTATTACATCGTCCTTATTCCCAAACCAGCCAAATCTGAAAAAGAGTGACAAATATTCAGCCAAATCTAAAAATGAGTTCAAACTTCTATTTACTTTATAAGAAAACCTTTGGACACTTACCTCATAGAAAACACAACAAAAGGTCACCTTCATTGCTGCAATGACAAATACAATCTATCTGTACAAATATCTGTCGATAGCTGAAGAGTTTTGAAAGACCTGTGCTTGACTGTATATGGCAAACAGCAAATTTCCCTCTCATAAAAAAAATTCAGCTATGAAAATTTTGACTTTCAAGTAAAATCATAACCAAGCATGTACATTCATAACGCAGGTATGCACACATAAACCCACATCACAATTTATAGAATTCATATGGTAAAACAGAGTTAACAAGAGTACGTGGAGAATGTTCTGTTACAAAAAAGCTAATGTAAGCGAGAAAGCACTATAAAATATATCCCCACAGTCTCTTTTGCATTCTCGCTGTGTATCAGCAAAACTGTGCAAAATATTTTTAGCACTTCTTCACTCATGCAAGCTTTTTATAGCCTACAGTGTTCTCTCTGACATTAGGATACTTACTTCCCACTGGCCCATCCAGCCACCAGGGCAAATGTGCCCCAAATGCTCATTCCCAGTCCCATTCCAATCGTTTTAAAAACGGGTACCACACACAAGTTGCCTGTACAATGAATGATACAAGAGAAAACTGAAAACATTGCTACAATATCATTTTTCCAAAATTGGTACTAGCAGTCAGTTTATGGTTGTTCGCCTGAGTGGAGACAACAACATTGACACAATTATAGCTAATAAGAGGAGGGAAAGTAAAACAAACAGCAGAAACAACAAAGGTGAAAAAAATATTATAAGATCTACCAGGGGCACCCCCCAACTACCCACATCCCAGAAGTCAAGAACATAGAGAAATGACCCATTTCATCTAAAGAATATGGTTCACTCATTCGAATTATCCTTTTAGGAGATATCACCACAAAGGATCAGCACAGTTATCAGTTATCACAAAGGCAGTGAGGATGAGGCTAACACCAGCAAAAAGCTGTGTGCCGCAAATCCGCCATAGTAAATCTGTTAGTCACAGTTATTTCCCTTGATTTCCTTCAATTTCTCATAATTTGTGTGTTTTATGGATTTACCCGAATTGTGGATGCATTGAACACATTTACATGTTTCGAGTTATTCCACGCCTGACTGTGTATCTATGCTGCGACAAAACCTCATCATGAGGGACTGTCAATTATTTAGCAGATAATAATGTTTCTAGTTCAAGCAATCATTAAATAAAAAAGCGTCAGCATGAATAACAATAACAATAATAATAATGATAATAATAACTGCATGAATAAAGCACATATCCACACTCTACAGCATGCTATGCCCTTTACTAGTTCTATTAATCCAGTAGACCCCAGAACACTCAGAAACGTTCTCAGCTTCCTTGGGAAGATTGCAGTACAATAAGCCAGCTAAGCGCTCAAACACAAATAAACTGACAAGATCTTTGACTGTCTACAGCCGGGTACTCACTCCCACCTGAGAGAAGTGAGGAAAAGTCATATTAAACGCCTTTCCCAAGGACACAAGGTTCGAACCTATGGACCTTTGGTTACGAGCCAGACACCCTATAACCATTAAACTCCTGATGCCTTAAAACATTTGACTAAAAAGCTGACTTAAGTTTTGTTTGAATAGAGAAGCTCATAGACAAAATAATGGTCATATCACTTTGCGCAAAAGAAAAAGAAAAGTAGACAGACAGAAACAGCAAGGATCAAGACAAGAAGTTGGAAACCCCCAGGGGCACCTTCCAACCACCCACAATGAAAGGATAAAGGAAAATGAAACAGTATAGAACTTACCAGTGGCCCAGATAAAACCTCCAAGCATAACCAGGGGGTAGAAAGTGGAGTTCTGCACAAGCTGAACCACAATTCCAACCAGGAAGATACCACTGCACAGAACATACTGGAAGAACATACCTGTGGGGAGCGGGTGGCATATAATTAGAATAACAAAGGTCAAATAATTAAGGTGAAGATTTTTACAACAGTATAAAGAGGAAAAAAGAATGTACCCCTAGTTACGTTTTAGTAAATGTTTTTTCATTAGTTTTAGTAAGAATATTACAGCACTTGCAACACATTACGGTCATATAAGTGCCGAAGATTAGAGGTGTTACAAGAGAGTAACAAACACAAAAAAGAAGGAGGAGAGATAAGTACATAGATGTTTAATAGGAAAGAAGGAGTAGACCACATCACATCACCCCCCAACCACCCACCAAAACCTTTAATCAAAGTAAAATTAAACATATATACAGTCAAAGTTGTCCAAGACGCTTATTAATACAGTCCAACCAGAGAGACCGACTTGGGCCTGGCAAGGAAGGGGAAAAGCCGTGCACTACCCACTTATGCAGCATACAGATTTAAAGCCCTTTCTAAATTCTGCATTATCTGACTTTGACATATTAAATATGCATCTACGTTAAGAGGAGACTTGAGTCCTCAGTCGCCATAGCAGTGAAGGGGTAAAAGCTTGTTCATTTGCCTTGCATTCCAAGCAAAAATACTCATCTATCTTGAAAAGAAGTCGAAATATTTCCGATTGAAGAAGAGGGGGGGGGGGGGGGGGGGGGGGGGGGTGTCACCTGGTTTCAGAGGTAAAATTGTAGCATTATGTGTTGGCTTTCTACTGACAACCTGGCAACTGACACAATGAGTGGAGGTTAATACAACAAAAAGTATCCAGAAAAAGGCCACCAAATTTTACGAGCTTCTAGTTTGAGAGTTCTTAGAAAACAAAAATTTACTTTTTTCTTTGGCCATTAAGCAACGCTTTTCAATAAAATCCAAACAGGAATGTGTTTTTAAATAAAATAAAAGGTGTTGAGTCAAAAAACAAAAATTCAATAAAAATTGCCAACCCGGTAGAGACATGCCGTTTTCTTCGATTTCAGTATTATGACGAAAGCCTGGTTTCACCTTAATGCCTCACATATGTGTGTGTGTGTAGTGTGTGTGTGTGTGTGTGTGTGTGTGTGTGTGTGTGTGTGTGTGTGTGTGTCTGCGTGCATACGTGCATGTGTATGTCATGAAACTTTGAAATCAGGTGCAACACTCAGTTTTTGGATATGTGGGTTTATTGGTATCATCCTAAAGCTTGTTCAGGTTCATCTGCCTTACTTTTGATGTAAAAAAAACCCAACCTATCTATCATGCACGGAAGTCAACTTATTCGCACTTAAAGGGGTTAGGGTTTGCCTTGTAGAAGAGGTCAAATTAACTAGAAAATGACCACCACTGTTTGGTGTCTTCCAAAGCTTGAGAGCTATCGTGTAAACTGTGAATTTACATTTGTGTGACTTTGATCATTGTTATTCAAGAAAATCGGCCTAGACATGTGTTCTTAACAGGACATAAAGTAAAGGCATTGAGCCCAAAAAATGAAAAATCATAATCAATAAAAATTGTCCTACAGACGGAAAAATACTGCTTTCTTTCATTTTATTATTTTAACAAGCGCCTGATTTCACCAGGATGCCTCACATCTAGATATATATAGGGAAGGGGCAGAGAGAGAGAGAGAGGGTGGGGGAGAGAGAGAGAGAGAGAGGGGGGGTGAGAGAGAGAGAGAGAGAGAGAGAGAGAGAGAGAGAGAGAGAGAGAGAGAGAGAGAGAGAGAGAGAGAGAGAGAGAGAGAGAGAGAGAGAGAGAGAGAGAGAGAGAGAGAGAGAGAGAGAGAGAGAGAGAGAGACGCAAGGGGGGAAGTGGGAAATGATTGTTTGTACAGGTGAATGATAGAACAGGTTTGACTGTTCATGCATCCTTAACTCTGATGTGTAATACATCAAACTTTGCTGGATCATCCCCCATTCCTCCTTATCACAATAAAACATAGGTAAACGTTAAGCCCTGATGTGTGATAAACACACTTTATACTTCGCAACATTATACTTCCATGTTCTTCATTATAACTGTACTGCATCACTTTTCCATCTCCTCTACTCTACGATATAAATTTTTATTTGTTTACTTTTATATGCTATAATATATATATATATGTGAACTAAAGTAAGCAAATAAAAATTTCCAAAAACTGATGTATGTTACTAACTTAAAAAAAGGATTTAAATGACAAAAGAAAGTTCAGTCCAGTTTTCAACTAACTAACCATCTCCGGTGACAAACTTCTTTACGGGTACAAAGTTACTGCCATACATTAGTACAGCAATAAGGGAGCATATGTAGCCAACATAATCAGGATACGAGTGTGACTGGGGTAGGGGTGTTGTCGTGTTGTGTGGGGCCACTGTAGTATTCACAACATTTATCCACTCCATTTTGCACTGACAGAGAATATCCACAGGAGAACCAGTCAAGTCCTTTCACATCAGAATATTCTGAAAATGAGAGTAGAATTTCAAACTTAGAAGTAAAACAGATTGAGGTTATACATACACATATATGAGTGTCCAGCACTTCTCAAGAGGCAAAATATCACAAGTTACTACCAAGTGTAACGCTAAAGCAAATCATTAAAATAATGAACCAATAAAAACATCCAAAAAGTGAAATTACACAAAATTTTATTAGAATTCAATAAAACTGATCTAAAACATGAAAACAAAACTGATTTCCAACTGCTGCATATTTTATAGGATAGTAATGAAATAAGACCTTTTGAGATGCAACTAGAACCCTCAACACAGGTGAATGATCCAAGAAAGAACTAGTACACCTACTCCTCTATCTCTATAGAGATATTTCACAAAATAAAAAACCAAGATACTATCAGGATGGCTCACATGAACTTGCCCTTTGACCTTTACAAATAAAATTGACAAACAGAAACAGATTGAAATCAAATGTTGAGAAAAGAGATAGTACAACCTCAGTCAAAAAAAAATGGGTAAGATTCTTTCAGCGTCTTTTTGATAAAATTCTAAAAAATGAAGGACAAACAAATAGTTTGAATGTTATAATTACAAGGACAAGGAGTTTATCTAGTCAAGTCACCCTCAAGTCTATGACTTAAGCTGTAAACCGACCCATACTTAAATTCCAGCATTATCATTTACTGGCCACTTGGAGATCAAGATGGGACGTTATCATTGAAAAGTTGATAAACTAGCTCTTATGATGAAATATAGGACAACTTCATTATCTACATGAATTAATTTATATGACCTGAACCAACTTTACTCATAACAGGTATGTCGGTAGAGATTAGCAATGTGCTATCAAACATCTCACAGGCAGAACAGACAAATAGCAGATCCACGAAGGAGTATTTCATTTAGCTTGACAGGAGCATCTTTGTAGTAGTTGTAGTATAGGGTTTTATGGCGCCCGCAACTGCATAAGAGGAGCGTCTTTGAATTTTAAAAAATGATATAATATACAAAAGAACTTTTAGGGTACTGACACCTGCACGGTCAAGCTTTTTTCAAATGTACATGATATGTACATGTTGCGCTTTTTAATTTTTTTTCACAGATTGTTTCCCTCTTTGATTTATGTAAAGAGACAATAGCTGTGGGTACACTGGGGTAGGCACTAACTAATTTGACTTCATCATCATCACATTTATTATGTTTATCAGTTTCTAAGGGGTATAGCAGAGCTGAAAACAAAGTAAGCCATCTAGCAGTCATGATAATCACATAAACATCAGCACAAGAACCATAACACTTCAACATAAATCCAAGGGTCAAGAATCACATTGTTGTCTCTTCTGTAATTCATTTTTTCTTTTCTTTCTTTCTTTTTTTTTGGTTAACCAAAATGATTTGCAATCTCTCATACTTATTGTTTTCACATATAGGCCATCTTTACCAAATATTAGCCAGCAATGAAGAAAATCTTTGCTTACTCTAGATACAGGTCAATAAACACACAGCATGTGACCAGAGGGAGCAGAGCATGTGACTCAGCCCTTTGTACTTATGACTCACAGAGTCCAGCTGGAGAGATGAAGAAATCATAAAAAGACCCAGATGGCAAACGTTTTCCCTGAGTAAGCCTACTTGAGCACAAATAAAATGTGACCTGGTGAAAATGTTGACAAGCCCCCAGTTCTTGGCTTTTAACTTATCAAAAACACCCCCCCCCCCCAAAAAAAAAAAAAAAACCTAGTAAAAAAACTCCTTTTCTCATACTTCCAAATCTTAGAGCTAATCAGTTTTCTCTAAAAGCAATATATCTTATGAGCATTTTTAGGTGTGTGGTAACTCTCTATTTTGCCAAACTGCAACGAGATCAAAACCCCAAAAGTGATTCACGAACATGGGTTGCTTGGGGATTCTTTACCTTTTCACCCACTTAACTCAGGTCTATCGCAAGAGGACAGAAAATTGGAGGTTCTGTGTTTCAAATAATCTGACAAAGAAATACTATAATTAAACTTACTTTCATGACCAACAAAACAATAACACCTACCTTGAATTGACTCTAAAAGACAGAGAAAAAAACCCAAAACAATACACAGATCAGAATGTCTTAAAGTGAATCCGCTTTACTGTACGCTGATTTGTTTTCCTCTGCACTTATCTTCATTAAGTTTGTGACAAAAAATAGTGCTCTTTTTTCCTGAGTTAGTTCATATCTGCATCTCAACACTGTAATTTTTAACTAACAAACACACTTCCAATGAAAAGCTCAAATTTTAATAATTTTTCAAAATGTTATAAAACTCTATATGTAAAAGGGTTCTTAATCTTAACAACACTTAAAGAAAGAAGAACAACTCAATTAAATTACAAGAATCTTCCTTCACTTTGAAATCAATAGCTGTGACCACAGTGGAATCTAGGGTTGTCTACCAAACTGAATAACCAAACAGGTTCAAGCACATTATATAATCATAGTATTATTAAATTTTGAATCTTGAAACATTTGAATTGTTGTCTGTTTCTTCTTACACTATCTGACCAGTGACAAAATTTTAAACATGAGTCATCAGAATGAAATTATAGACCCCTATGTCAAGTGCAACCAGATCCGAAGCATTAAATTCCATGGCACTATACTAATCAACAATAAACAATCTATTTTCCTTTGGATGTATTTCTTGCCAGGAGAATAATAAGTTTTCAGGGAAAAAGAAATATCAACCCCCACTACTCCTTTCTCCTCCTTTCCCTATGGTAAACCGCTGACTTTTTTAAAACTTAATAACCATCCTATGATTCATTAGAAATTGAAACCATAGGGAAACAAAACTGCGCTCATTCTGAGAAGACGAAACACTAAAATAAACAAAATTTTAGGAGAATGACATATTGGGAGCAAATCTATAACATCTGTTCCTGAATTGAACAAAGTTACCAGGGTGGATCAATAGATAGTTACACATGGTTTTTCTGATAGTGAGAACTTGGGTGCTATTATGGAACGTGATACCGACATAAACAGAAGCCTATTATGTCATCACATGCAAAGGGGGAGAGAACAAAAATTGTATTGTTTGTCTATGGCCATTCCAGTAGTTTTCTTGTGACAATGAATTTCCATTGCATTCTACAGATTTTAGGGCTCACATCCTCATTGCCAAGCTCAGGATCATTATTCATAATGCACATGTCTGTGAAGAAATGTTAATTTATGGTCTCTTTGAATATTATAATGCACATAAGAGTATTTTTTTTTCAACAGAAAAGCCAATCATAAACACTATTAATTATTACCATTATTGTCGTTTTTAAAATATCATTTATTATAAGTTCAGGAGAGAGAAATTTATTACGAGGAAAGTTGAGACATTCTGCCTCTAGACTCGAGAGGCTTCCAATTTAGAAAGGTTTCCACCCCAGACAACTTACCTTAATACCATGTTGTGGATTAATTTATATAAAAAGGTAGTACAGGAGAGAACAAGTTATGCTACATGATGATTTTAGAGATAGTGGCAAACCATGGATTAGTCGTCACTTATTCATTAAAAAGAATCTTTGGATACAAAAAAAAAAAAGAGCCTGATCAAAAGTGCATTCGTTTTCTCATTCTCTCTAAACACTGTTTCTATTCACAATCAGAACAAAACTATTACGACAAATGTAAAAATCATTTTTTTTGTTTTAGTAAGCCACTTTTATATGGCGCTTGCAACACAATTAGGTCATATAAGGGCCGAATATATATGGTCGCTTTTAAGGACAGGCGAACTAACCCAGATTTGGGGGGTTTCCAGAAATCTTGACCTACAACAAAAGTGGGAATTGCCTTACCTATATGAGAAGTTTGGTTTCATTGGTGAGTTTATTTGTTTGATTATTGAGAAAACTCTCCTTGTCTTTTAAAGAAACTGAATAAGGGTTCAAAAACTTTACCTTCGATTTTCTCAAAACAGCATTTTCTGGGATAGCCCCCTTGTACTTAAAAGAGATCATATATTAGAGGTGTTACAAGAGAGTAACAAAGGGAAAAACAGGAGGATAGATAAGGATCAGGATAGATATTTGATAGAGGAAAAAAAGGAGCAAACAACACTAGAGCACCGGCCAACCTCCTACCAAATGTAAAAAGTTGTTCTTAGAGCGGAACCTGTGACACGAAATGGAATACTTTTTGAGTATGGGGTTGTTTATTGCAGCTGTTTTTTCATAAATTTAAAATTGCTTAGTCCTAGTTTAACAAAAAAACAAAACCCCAACATCAATTTCAGGCAAAAATTTGCCACTATTTAATTTCATCAACCGACAGCTCCCGATAACAACTTCCAAGATGGCCACACAAATCTCTCATTGCCCAACATAGCCATAAATCATTTACTGACCCCTGACGCTGTGGTTAAAAGCCTTTACAATCCATTCACCTGTCGTTATTGTCAGTGGCGGCTCGTGGTTTATAGAACTGACCGGCGGTCATTCACGTCGACTATTTTCCCGCCCCGCCCCCATCCTTCACAACACACACACACACACACACACACGCACACGCACACACAAACACACACGCACGCACACACACAAATGCTCTCTCGCTCTTTCTCTCTCTCTCTCTCTCTCTCTCTCTCTCTCTCTCTCTCTCTCTCTCTCTCCTTATTTTATACCCCTACTTTCGCCATCCCCACCCCCTCCCCCACTCACACACGCACACACACACCACAGTAAACATTGTAATATAATGTGAAAGAGCTAAAATATGCGGTAGCGTCAATAAACAATATTATGAATAATGTAAGATGGAAGTTCCTGAGATTAATAGAAACTCACTTGATCGGCACAGAAAATGAAACACACTACTTGAGTCTAAGCTAGAAAACAAACTGAAAGTGAGAAGCAATAAATCGCTGGTCCTGGCCTCCAGTACAGTACTTTACTCGTACTTTCTACGCCCCCATACAAAATATTGACCTGCATTGAACCCGTTAAATATATGTAATAAGAACTGTCCTGTATGA